ATGATCTGAGTTTGAAATATCAAAGATTTACACCATCAGGTTGCAAAGCTAAAGGAAATATAAAATATTTGTTTTGTGATCTATAAGCTCCTATAGTTTTTTACTTTTCTGCATGGTTTTGTACTTTTCTGCATGGCCTATACCGAAGCACGTAGCGTCCATACAAATTCAGAAAGTTAACATTCGACTCGCATCGTAAAAAAATCAATTTAATTCCAAACAAATCATTCAGATATTACAAACTAAAATCATCGAAAATTTTTTGAAGCAATCGTATGAAGTTGATATTTCATAATATTTTTTATCATATTATTTGATCTGATAGTTACTTTTGAAAACATTTTGTTTCGAGGATTTTTGATAACGAAGACGGCATTTTAATATTTACAGGAAAGATGGAAAATCCAGCGCCAGCTGTAAAAACAAGTTGTAAGCTAAATGTTTTTTTTAAAATCAAAATATTATGAAATATCAACTATGAATTATTTTAAATAAAAAAGTCTAAGTTAAAATATTTAAGGTTTTCAATATCAGGTTTCAATTATCAAAAGATTATAAAATTTGAGTTTGTGGCAAAGATTTTCCTTTATCGTCTCAACAATTTAATATTATGTCTCATCTTCATATGTTTGCGCGCCTAATGAAGGGTGCACGTCTCTGTTTGCGGGCCCTCTCACCGTGTCACAGAATTGTGACCTCATGACCATGAGCAGACTTTGATAGATAGATAAATAGACATTTAGATAGATAGATTTTGTAGATAAATAGACATTTATATAAATACATGTGTAGATAAATAGATATATATTTAAAAAATAAATAGAAATTAAGATTTTAGACATATAATAGATAAATAGACATTAAGATGCATACACCAATGTAGATCATGTAGATCAACAGACATTTAGATAGATAATGTAGATAACTAGATAGTTAGAGATAGATAGATACACTAGATAAATACACCTAGATAGATACTTTTAATAGAAATTTAGAAAGATAAATAATGTAAATAAATATACATTAAAATAGATATATAATGTAAATAAACAGAAATATAGATAAATACACGTATATAAGATAAAAATAGATCTAGAGATTTAAATATATAGATAACTACACAATTAGATAGTTAGATAGTTAGATAATGTAGATGATAGATATTCAAATAGGTATATATCATATAATTAGATTGTTAGATAATGTAGATACTAGATATTCAGATAGGTACATCTATATATAAATTTGCTTGTCTGTCTGTTTGGGTGTTTGGGGGTGTCTGTTAGGGTGTTTGTATCCAATGAACGTCAAAAATCCGCAAAATTGTTTTCTTCTTTGTTTTAAAATGTAAACAAAAAGAACATGTTCACAATTTAAATAGAAGATGGGCGCGAAGCGCCCTAAAAGCCTAGTACAAGATAATTAGATTGTTAGATAATGTTGATAATAGATATTCAGATATGTACATATTAGATAATTAGATAGTTAGATAGTTAGATAATGTAGATAATAGATATTCAAATAGGTACATATTAGATAATTAGATAGTTAGATAGTTTGATAATGTAGATAATAGATATTCAGATAGGTACATATTAGATAATTAGATTGTTAGATAGTCAGATAATGTAGATAATAGATATTTATATATAGGTACATATTAGAAAATTAGATAGTGTAGATAAGAGACATATATTTCTATGAAACGTGATTGTGTACAATTTTGATATTACAAAGATTAGCTATTAGTTGTAGCAGTATTCATATTATAGGGTTTTCGAGATCAGATTGCAAATATGTAACGATTAGAAAATCAGAATTTGATGCAAGTGTTTAACTTCTTTAAGAAAAGATTAAGATAAAGAATGGTAAAACACGGACAATTAAATAAGCACACTTAGATCACCGTGGATTTATTCAATTTAAGTTTGTTTCAAAATTGGATCAAATTTGAATATAATTTTAAATTCTAAGAAAGTTTTAAAGTTATAAATGTTTCAGCCAATCAAATTAAGGTTCCATTCATGCAATTTCATGAGTTTTGTTCAAAATCAAATATTTATTATCTTAACATCGATTTTCATAAGGTTATACTTTATTACTCAAATATTCAGATTAAATATTGGCTACATTAGCTTTAAGATGCATAAATTGCATTTATAATAGGTTGACTTAAAAAAACAGTAGTCAATACCAGAGCCTCATTTAACAAATTTGATGTCTTGTCATATACTGTGAAATTTGCTAAAAGCTTGATTTTGTTCTTGTTTGTTATATTAGATTAAACATGTTCATATCAATATCAATATCCCCCCCCTCCTCCATAAAAAATTGTTCACCATAAATTTTCTGGCATTAAAAGCTGAAAGAACCCATGTACATTTTGTAATGTACTTTTAAAATTTTTTTTAATATAACAGTTTCAGCTTACATCTTTACACATTATACAAGATTAACCTTCAAAGGATGAGACTTTAAAGACAACGTAAAACTTAAAATTTTTGACAATTTCAAGGTTAATTTTAGTCTTCTGCTTTAAATATACAGTTATAACCAGACAACTCTGAAATAGTAAGACGACTTTTAAACTCAAGTTATGACGATTAGATATAGCAATGTATAGTGTAAATAAACCCTTTTCACTTAAATTGTGCTGTACTAAGTTACCAGTGAACATGTTTGCTGCATCAAGTACTGCTATAATGTCGTCTTTCTATTCCACTGTTTCTGGTTATCACTGTAGACTAGTAAAAGGTAATTAAATGATTTGGATAATAAAGAAACAAGTTAAAGTTGTAGGAAATCATGAATATAAAGAAACAGACATTATTAATTTTCCGTAAAGTCGTCTTTGAACTCTCATTATTTGTTGCCCTTGCTAAAATGCACTTGATTCTTAGATAGATCATAGAAACTTGTATATTAATATAATATTAATCATAACTCCCTTTTTCTAAACATCAAGCTATTGCTAAAAAACAAAGGTTGAGCATTTTTAATTGAACAAACAGGTTTACGAGGTGTTACAAGGTAGTAAAATCGTTCCAGAAATTTTACAACATGGAATTCGGAATTCGGTAAATCTCATCTTTGCATTGTCTTTGTGTATACTAAACTTAAACTTCAGTATTCAGTACTGTGCAAATTATTAACCCTTTTTCTAACAACAAATTTCACCCAAAATATCTTGGGTGGGGGGGGGGAGGATGCTATTTATTCATTCTGGTGATACTAAAATAATCCAAATCATTTCGTACTATTTTGGAAAGCCTTGTGGCTCTACTTCAGTAACCTGCAAAATAATTTTAAAAAATTGAAAAAGTCTAAATATTTATTGCGAAATCCACTAAGTTAGCATTGTGTATGTGCGTGAAAGAACAACTGAAAAAGTGAAAAATTCTTTTATAGGCGCTTGTGCAAAAAGTTATGCAGTATATACATATAATGTTAGCCTGGGTAGTGTATCTTTTTTTGGATTTGTTATGAATGATATAAGCTGTAAAACTTTTGGAAGAGAATGTCATTTCAGAATTTTTGAAATTTTTGGTTTTCTAAAGGTCAGAAGGCATGAGTGCTATGCTTTAAAAAAATAAAGTTTTAATAAACTTTTTTACATATTTTAATAGTGCTAGAAGAAAAATTTCTCTATCTTTAAGTTTACAGATTTGTTTTTTTACAGAGTTGTTTTTTACAGAGTTGTTTTTTACAGAGTTGGTTTTTAAAGAGTTGTTTTTTAAAGAGTTGTTTTTTACAGAGTTGTTTTTTACAGAATTGTTTTTTACAGAGTTGTTTTTTACAGAGTTGTTTTTTACAGAGTTGTTTTTACAGAGTTGTTTTTTACAGAGTTTTTTTTACAGAGTTGTTTTTTACAGAGTTGTTTTTTACAGAATTGTTTTTTACAGAGTTGTTTTTTACAGAGTTGTTTTTTACAGAGTATTTTTTACAGATTTGTTTTTTACAGAGTTTTTTTTACAGAGTTGTTTTTTTTACAGAGTTTTTTTTACAGAGTTGTTTTTTACAGAGCTAGTTTCTTTACAGAGTTTTTTTTTACAGAGTTTTTTTTATAGCTGTGAACACATTTTGCTAAAAGTTTTTTTTGAAACCATGATGGTATAAATAATAATAATAATAATAAGAAGAAGGAAAGAAGAAGAAGCTTTTTTGAAGATAACAATCCAGTACGTGCTTTTAAATAGGTTAGAAATTTCTGACAAAAAATATTTTGGACGAAATAACTGACAACTGACAATATAGGAGAATTTAGGAGAATCTAATTCATTGTGCGCTAAATCGAACTGTCTCCGTCATTGACAAAGCGATTTTTATCGAAAGGGTTGGATGAATGGATACAGGTGTAATGATTAATAGATTGATGAACGGAGGTTTTCTACTTACTCCAGGGTCTCGGAGGATCAGGGAATATATTAACTGCAGCTTCAGTTCATACAGGATACAGGATACAGGATACAGGATACAGGATACAGGATACAGGATACAGGATACAGGATACAGGATACAAGATACAGAATACAGGATACAGGATACAGGATGCAATTGATGTTAACTAAAAACTCAAGAAACAAATTATAATAAATACCAAACATTCTTCCTAATTGTGCAACCTTGACCCCAGATTTTACTAAGATCTACAAATTTGCCAAGGATTGCAAATAATTAAAGATGAGCACAGGCTTGCAAAATCCTAATTCAACATTATAATGCTATTCTTTAATAACTGAGATTGTAATTTGTAAATGAACAAAACTGATTTGAATTGACTATTATTAAGTTTTCGTCACTGAGTGAAATTGTGTGAATCAATTATCCCAGTTGCTTCCATATTTAATAGTTTCCCACTCTGAATACATTTCAATATCTGTTCTCTAACATTTCGGCTTTGATGTCGATATTTTGATAAATTGAACCTTTTCTGCATTTTATTACATTTTTGACAAACGATATATAAGTACTGATTTTCCACATTTTATATTTTTTTATTTAGAATATACAATGAACTACAATGTCTGCTAAGGTGTTATTAAGGAAGTTAGCTAAAAACTCCTCAGGTGCCGAAAATATCCTAACTTTTATAGAAGTATTGCGAATTTTTTTTTAACTTGTTGAATGTTGATGCTAAAGTCCATTAGATAAGTTGTTCTTGAGATGGGCGCCTTCGGCTTTTTTCATTTAGTTCGTTCATAATTTTTGAACGACACATTACTTTCGTTTTTTCTTCAATTTTTAAATAAATTAATTAGTTCGTTCTAAAAAGTATCGTGCATTTTCCATCTAGTTCGTTTGATTGAAAACGGCTGACATTAGAACACTAAAACTCCTTTACGTTTTCAACTTAATAGCTGTGAACACATTTTGCTAAAAGTTTTTTTTCGATGCATAGGGTAGGGTGGAGGACAGTCAAACGGCGGCTTGGTGTTTCTAAAAAATTCAGAAATGTCTATTAACTTTTTAATTAATTAAGCCAAAGGGATACAAATTATATTTTTAAAAAGCCCTTGAAAAACAGATGTAATGTCATGAATTACACGTTAGTATTTGTCAAAAGTGAAAAATTTTTAAAAAACTTTTTGAAAACCATTAAAGAAAGAAATCTATTTTTTTTAATAAGTAAGCCTCAAAAAGTTGGACTGGGAATATGTATCACACTTCCCTTTCTTTACTTTAAAGGGAGTGTTCGCGAAAAATGAAAGGGGGTATAGGCTTAATGCGATAAAAAACTCTTTTGATCGCTACTAATCTTACTTCTATCTGTTGCGTCTATAAGGAGAAAATTGTTAAAGACGTCTCATAACGAATAACTTAGCGGCCATGGCCATACAAATTGAAAAAATTTCAAAATACGACTTAGACCGTAAAAAATCAATTTAATTTCAAACAAATCATTTAGATATTACAACCTATAGTCATCGATTATCTTTCGCCACATTTGTATATAGTTTATAAGGGAAAATCATTGGGGGAGGGGGGTACCCTTTTATCGTCTTCCCTTGAAAATAGTTTATTTCAATTGCGTGGTTTCTCTATTAAGTGACTTTTGAACGCGCGATGGAGGAAATTATCAAAAAAATGCAAACCTAGAAAAACGAAGATATATCTTCAACATTATGGGTAAAAGATTAAAAGTCCCATGGTCGGCCATAACCTGGATATCTAAAACATATCATGAAATTGGTATCTTTCCATAAAAGTTTGCAGAAACTTATACTGTAGGTTTGCAGAGCCAAGGGAATAAAACTTAATCTTTAATATTGCTCTTCTAGATCTTGATAAACTAATAGCTATCTATACATTTATTCGTCTTTCCTTGTCTTCTATTTGCGATTTCTCTGTTAGAAAAGACGAGCGGATTGATCTTTTTCTCAGAAATATTTAAATATTTCCTTTTCAGATGCAGTAGAGTGGAGCCTGGAGCCCCTGGTGAGCTCCACCCCTTCTTTATACCAGCTCCCACCCCTGGAGGAGGGGGCCCAAACTAACTTCTCCTTGCTCCGTATACTTTGCAATAATACCTGTACTTCAGCTCCCATTGATCAGAATCAATACTTCTCAGTTAAAGAGGTAAAATCAAACTAAAAATAAATCAATTAATCAATCAAATCAAACAATTTTGCTAAACCAATCGATCTTTTAATACTTCTTAGTTAAAGAGGTAATACACCTAGGAATTAATTATTCAATCAATTTTATTTTGTTACAATGTCAAATCAAACAATTGTGATAAGCCAGTCGATCAATTAAAATTTCTAAGCAATACAACTAGGATTAATCAATCAAAATGTTCTGGTAGAGTATTCAATACATCAATCAGTTGATCAATTAGCTCTTGTTAGTTTTTAAAAAGATCAATTGTATAAGAACTTAATCAATTGAATCATTTATAAATAAATTAAAATTTTTAAGCATTTTAAATATTGAATCAATCGTTCAAATCAATTGATATTTTTAAGTTAAAGTGGAAATCACTTTTATTTGATTTATTTTTTAATTTATTTATCAATTAGGCAATGAATTCATTCAAATATAAGTAAATCAATTTTGTGATCAATAAATACATTTAGCATAAAAGTATCAATTTATTTATCAGCGAATCAACCAATTAGTATAAAATAGCTCAAAAATAAATCAAGCAGATCTTTTCTTTTTAAAAATCAATTGAATCCATACTACCAGGGTAAAATAAACAATGTTGTACAAAAATAAAAATACTATGTATTTTAAATATGAGACTGATGCTACAACTTTTTTATATATAAAATTCCACAAAGGTTTAGTGTGGAGAAACAAGTGTTTACATTATGTTTATTATAGATTAGAAAAATGTAAATGAAAACATTTATAAATAAACATTGTTTACATCTTATATCAATTTATGTAAAACAATTAACTGTATCATCAATATCTTTAATACAAACACATTTCTATAAATACTTGATACAGGACTGTTTACAAAAATAGACTCTAAAGACGACAGGAAACTGGAGTTGGACGCGTTCCGCTTTTTTCATTTTGTTCGTTCATCGTTAATGAAGGACCCATTACATTCGTTTTCTTTTTAAAAAAATAATTGATTTCGTTCGCTCATAAAATTATCGTTCATTTTGATGACATATTTATTGCTTTAGCAAGGAAAGAACCAAGTTCACACCTTGTTTAGAATCATGAATGTAATAATGTAATAAGACGTCTTATTTTTGTGGATAACCCTGTATGATCTGAGCTGAAAACTTTAGAAGTGTTAATTTTAAGATCAATGCTTGATCTCCTCTTTGTATTAATCTTAAGATTAATTTAATCTTTAGTTTGTTTTCTGAAAACTGTATAATATTCAACCAATAGAGTGGCGTATGCAAAACCCCAAACAGCCAATAAGAAGCCGTGAAATTTAAAATTGAACGCGCAATTTGATCAAAGAACTCTCATTGGCCGGAATCTGGTAGTGATATCCCAAAACCAGATTAAGCAGATTAAGTTTCCACTTTGGTAATTCAGATTAAGCGATCGGGATTAAAGAATATCCAATTCTAAAGCTCTGAGCTGAAAACTTTAGAATTGGAAACCTTTAATCCCGATTGCTTAATCTGCATATCCGGTGTGGACACTTTTAATTTCCTCCTTTATCCACTCTTTCTCTCTCTTTTTGATATCGGTACTTTGTTTGACCAATGAGAGTCCATCATAAACGGAACGAAAAATTTCCCGGCTTCTATAATTGGGTGTTTCGGTTTCTCCAAACGCCACTTGATTGGTTGAATTATATACAATTTTGGGAAAACAAACTTAAGATTATATTAATCTTGAGATTAACAAAAAGAGATCAAGAACTGATCTCGATTTCTTCAATCCTAAAGTTTCAGCTCTGAACAATTAAATATGAAGAAGAAGAAAGAAGAAATATTAGAATCAGTCTGTCAAGTTTGACATAAAATGAGCCAAGTTAACCACCAAGCTCACTTTCTCAAAACTTTTCAAAACTTTATTATTTTTTTGCTGTATTTTCAAGTTTTCTGCTTAGCAGTTTTTTTGCCGGATAAAACGATGTATTCACTTTATTTTTGCGTTGGATATTCATAATTCCGATCATTTTATCTCGATATCCGGAGTGGATACTTTTCTTTTCTTTTCAGTCATTCCTTCCTTGATCAAAGATCCCTTCAATCCCTGACTGGATTACCTTGCTGAATATCGAATAAAGATTTAGTTAATCTGCAGATTTACCAAAGACCTATATCAAGCATATATTTATATATATTATATACTAACTTATGATTTTAATGATATTTTAAGTTTAACCTTTTTTTTTATATTGGACTTAAATTTAGGTTTTACCTTTTAATCTCCAATAATGGGATAGTACAATTGGTTTAATCCTCGCTTTCTAAATCTGATTAATCACATTAATAATCTGATTTAAATTCAGGTTTTAATCCTCATGTTCATGAATTGATTAAATTTTCAGGCTTTAATCCTAATTTTCATGATCGGATTTATTTTTAGATTTTAATCCTCATTTTTATGGTCGGATTTATTTTCAGGTTTTAATCCTCATGTTCATGAATTGATTAAATTTTCAGGCTTTAGTCCTAGTGTTCATGATCGGATTTATTTTCAGGTTTTAATCCTCATGTTCATGATCGGATTATGGATTTATTCCATCCTTCTGACAAGAAAAGCTTGGTACAGATTACTCAAAGAATAGTGAAGGAACCTAAACTGGGTCTGCTTCTCATCCAAACCTAAACTGGGTCTGCTTCTCATCCAACATCTTCATTTTCATCCAACATATGTGTATATTTATGAAGGAACTGATTGCTTCTCTCAATCTCTAATTTTCTAGTCCTTTTATCTTTAACCTGTGCTGTGTTGGGAACTTTTAAATGGGATCTATCCTTAATCCCGATCGGTTAATTAATCTGGAGATCAGTAACAAGAGGAAAACAAGCATTATTTCATCTGGAGATTAAGAAAAAGAGGAGATCAAGCATTGATCTCGATATCCACCATTCTATAGTTTTCAGCTCTAATGTCGTAGATCTTTTATAACAATTCGACTACCTAGTTTTATTCAAAGTGTAAAATGTAAATTGGCACGTCATAAGGTTGAAAAGATAAAATTATTAAAAAATTAGATTTAGAGAAGAGTAATCACCTCAGTGTCTTTTTTCGTCCCTTGTGTCTAATAAAATTCCTTTATTAAGATAGAAGAAAGATATTTCCGCAAAGTCGAAAATTAAAATTGTGTAGAAGTATTGAGATTGTAAAAACACACCAACTCTGTTCAAATATGTTCACGGGAAGCCGTAGTACAGTACATTTAAATATTCAAGCCGGGTCAACTTTTCCAGTCCCAGTTTGTACTGTACATAGCTCAATGGACATGACTAGCCGGTGCAACAAGGTTGACGCACTCAGACTTTATGCTTGATATACAGAGTACAGCTCAAATATGTACACAGTACACACCAAGTGGCTTGCACAACTAAGGCATGGTCCTGTACATACCAAGGAGCGTGTACATAGGGAGATGAAAGAATTTCAATCGAAGGGTGAACGTATAATCCTCCACAGTGGAAGGTTATCAACAAAGGAAGACATTGTGAACACTACTTAAAAGTTTAAAATAAAGGTTGAATTAGGTTGGTTTCCTGCCTTTATTAAGTTTTTTTTCGCTTTTAAAATGATTTAGCAAAGAAAGGGTTAGATTTACAGTTTAAGGAAAGTCTCATCCTTTGATGGTAACCCTTCACTTATATATCATGTCTTTCTTATCTTTCTTCATTTCTAATTTTTCATTCGTGTTTAAACGCCTTAGAAAATCATTAATATAATGATATTTTCAAATATTTATTTGTATAATGTTATTATGTTGTTAAGTGAAATATAGAATAGAATTTTCTTCTAAATTATTTACTTTTTCTTAAAGAGATTGTAGTCGATATTTTTATCTCTTTGACCATATCCCTGCTGGGGTACTTGAAACTAGGATACGCTGGGGAGGGGGGGGGGGGGACAAATAGACCATCCCCCTATTAATCCCATGTTTAACGTCCTAATATGATAAATGATACATCATTGGGAAGCTCTTATGCTCTCATCTTAGAATCTGCAAAAAATTGCATATTTTCCAAAATATAATTTTTTTGGCAAAATCCAGTTATATATATATATATATAGTAATATATCTATATATAAATTTGGCTTGTTTGTCTGTCTGTTTGTTTGTCTGTTTGTTTTTTTTGATATCGGTACTTTGTTTGACCAATGAGATACCCCCCTCCCTCCCACAGTTCAGACAGAACTATGACAGAAACATATAGAAAATGAATTAGGTTCTATTGTATTCAGTTTATTCGATATATTCAATCATTTACTACATAGTAGTTTAGTAATTAGTCTGTATAGAGGTCGTAGAACTATGTATTGTATTGTATATCTCTGGATCAAGAACTGATCTCCATCTTATTCAGATCTACAGATTCATTTTATTATAACCCGTGATGGTCAAACTCTGCAGGGATAACTTTAATTGAGGGATCTTAAAAGGGAGTGTTTGCGAAAAATGAAAGGAAGTATAAGCTTACGGTGAAAAAAAAGCGCTTTTGATCGTTCTAATCTTTCTTATATCTGTTGCGTCATAAGGAGAAAATTGTTAAAAGCAACTCAAGCTGAAGAACGTAGCGTCGATACAAATTCAGAAAGTTGCTACATTAAACTCGGATCGTAAAATAATCAATTTAATTCCAAACAAATCATTCAGGTATTACAAATAAATTCATTAAATTCGGACATAGGAAATACATTTGACAACATTGGCATTAATATAAAACATAATTGTACACTGTACAATTGAACATAATTGTTTTACATAATCATTTATCAAAATATTGACGTTTCTTTCAATTCTTAACTTGACTATGCAATTATGTTTATTGAATGTTATATAAGAATTAGACCGAATATTATAATACATCACACGCAACTTTGGTTATATAACTACTAATATTAATTTTCTTTTTATTACTTTACAAAAAATTCTTTTTTAACGTTTTCAGACAACGTTAGAGTTTTCACAGTTTAAAATTTCTTTAAAATGTTTAAATATGCGTAAACACAAACAGAAAAAATCATTTAAATTAAAAAAATTAAATATTAGGAGCTAGTAATTGAATTTTTTATTTAAATATTTTATTCTACAGAATTCGTAATTTGAATTATCAAAAAAAATATAATAAAATCAAATTGGACAAAAGTAATTAAAAACCGAAAAAAAATAGAATAAAGTAGTTGAATTTTTATTTTCGAAATTTAAAGTTTAAATTGTCAAAGGTGAACCTGACAGAAGGATATGGTAAAATTTGTCTAACAATACTCAACCGACTTTGTGATCTCGTAGTTTCTCTAGCTTCTATTTTACGCTAATTTATGAAGACATCAAACTAATCCGGTTATTTAATAGAATTAAATTTAAAATTTTATTATACTTCTTAATATTTCTTCAATAAGAGGAGTTCTGATTGAAAACATTTAAGATTTCACTCATACGTGCTATTTGTATTAGTTTTGTGTGTTACGATTATGAAATTAGTTTGTGGCAAAACAAAGTTTATTTTATATCAGAATTTTTACTAGAAGAATAATTATTTTAAAAGCAGAAAGGAATTGAGTTCTGCAACCACAAATTCTAATTTTCTAATTACTATATCTTTGCCACCCTCGACGTTGAAGACCTTTGATATTCTAAACTATATAATTCTGTTAGACCAAATAGTCTAAGTTTGACAAATCAAAGATTGCAACCAGGTTGTATAATTTTTACTTTATTTTTCGTTGTCGTTATTTAATAATTTAAAAAAAAACTAATTCTGAAAACGTATCCACCCACAAAGTAGGAGTTTTGAACGTCGAATTTTCGCTCAAACTCGGGATTTACAGATCTTTAAAAAGTTTAGTATGTCTCGAATGAATCCGAAAGAAGCTTTCCACAACACTATTCATTTCAACTACCTTACATAGCAGGTCACTCCCTTCAACAAAATCAGAGTTTGTGGCAAGAACATAGTTTTCTTTTTCTGTAAAAATTAATTATTTTCAATGACGACATAAAGTTATTGCATGAAATTGCGATTTTGTCTTATATGAAGTCTTTTAATGATATAATAAATGATTTAGCAATAAAAGAAACCTGTTCACAGCTTTAGAGTGAAGAAAATTATGAATAAAAGAAAAGGATTTAAATGAATTTTGTTCATTCGTATCTAAAGTCTCATCCTTTATAAGTAACTCTGTATATACATTTGCAATGTTCAGATGAGGGCACTTATGGTGAGATTTATAAAATGGGTTTTAATATATAAGATAAAGGATGAAGGAAAAATTCACGAGCAGCCGTAGTACATTTGAATTTCCGAGCCGGGTCAACCTTTCCGGTCCTGGTTCGTACTGTATCGCCCGGACATTGGATAAATAAAGCAGACACTCAATGGGACTAGCCGGTCACACTTTAGGTTGAATTTACGTTTACTGAAGGGTCAGAGGTGCGTGAAAAGAGGGAACACGTAGAATTGAAATTTTAAATGTTTTCAATCATAACTCTTCTTATCAAAGTACTTTTGGGCAAAATGACTAAAATGTGATGAATTCCTTTCATGTAACCGTATATTTGTGCGTAAAATCGTCACAAAGCTTTGTACCAGAAATGTCAGATCATTCTAACCTTCTCCTTCATATCTAGTTCAGTATGACTAATGAGCCTACAAGGTTTCCTTTAAAAGTTTAGACTTTAACGACAGCATTAACTATACATATATGATTAGATACAGCATCTGCACGATCTAAAAGTTTTATCTTTTGTGTGATAAGTTTACTCATTTTTAAATTCTCATTTTTTTTTTAAATAACACTGAACACTTTTTAAAAATTCAAAAGGAAAGTTGAAAAAAATTAAATCATTCTGTTTTTAGAAACTTTGTTTTATGATATTTATTTTAGTTATAGTATATTTTATGTAAATATGCGATTAACTTTTATAAGGATTCCCAATCCATAGACCTAACAATAACTTTTTATAATAAAAGGAAATGTACGTGTAATTTCCATGGGGCGGACCCACCATGCAAAGATGGCAATGCTCAGTTCACAACGATACACTTTAAAGTTTTGTCGGAGCAAATATAAATATGATATCAAAGTTTATAATTCTGAAAACTGAATTTTTTCAATTGTTATTTCTCTACAAAAGTGACTTGCGCATTTATACTGCAGGAAAACATATAAGAATATCACATTTAAACACTTTCAAACCCAGAAAAATATTTTCCATGTTATCATTTAGATAAAAGTTTCAAGGAAACCGGCAATTACCATCTTTGCATAATTAAAGGGTCATTTTAAATGCAAAGTAGAGGTTATAGCGTGTTGCTTATTGTTGAACCGTTTTTCATGCCTGCTATTTTAATTCTAAATATACATGCAGATTCTTCTAGAAAATTAAAAAAGCCATAAAGTTAAAATATTTAGACATATAATGTAAATTCAAATGCCAACTTTTCAGGCTAATACTCCATTTTGAAAAAAAATTCTTGGAAGGTTTTAGGATTTAACAGATTGGTTTTTACCCATAACACCCACCGGCAGTGCCGCAAATCTGTGCACTACTCATCTTTATATAATCTAAGTATTATTATGATTTATTTGTCAAACACATAAATTATAAAATTGGTTCAGATATTAGATTAGAGACTAGTTACGAGTTATGACTATATTTCAAAACTAACAACTTCTCTGATATCTTCTTCACAATTCAGTTGTAACATGAGATGCAGACAATCGATTTTATCTTCTTCTTGAATGGTGAGCGGCCCCACATTCTTTAAAGATGGCTATTTACACACCCCTGACCCTTTAGTTAAAGTAAATTCAGCCCAAAGTCTGACCACGTCAACCTTGTTGCACCGGCTATTCCTACTGAGAGTTTTCTTTATTTACCCAATATCCGGGCGATACTGTACTGGGACCGGAGAGGTTGACCCGGCTCGGAAAATTAATTTTACTACGGCTGTCCGTGTATTGGAGGGCTGTTAAGTATATCAACAGAGAATTCGTCAGAGAGGTTTGAAATATTGCTTCCAAAATCTTACTGTAGAGAATATGCAGATATTTCCCAGCTGTTATTCTTTCCTTTTTCTTTATTCTTGGAACTCAGTTCATTTACAAATAAGAAGTATGTAAACATTGCGTGTGTGAAATGTATGTATAAGGATTAAAGATTGGATTTCGGGGGTTTTCAAAAGTAGATAAATAAAAATAGTTTTGGAATTTTTAAAACGAAAAGAGAAACATTGGAAGTGGGTTTGAAACTTACAGACACGAAAAATTATGTTTTTGATACGTCACGCACCCCTAACCCTCTAGTAAAAGTAAATTCAGCCTAAAGTCTGACCGCGTCATCCTTGTTGTACCGGCTTGTCCTTTTGAGTGTCAGCCTTATTCACCCAATGTCCGGGCGATACAGAACAAATTGCAGGACCGGAAAGATTGACCCGGCTCGGAAATTCAAATGTACTACGGCTGCCCGTGACGTCAATTTAAAGCAAATGAAACGTAAAAATGAAATCGTACATGTTTAAAAACATAACTTCTCTTGTTAAAAACAAAAGTGTTTAAAATTTCTAATTTCTTTTTCTCATAATTGTGCGTCAAGTGCGTAGAATCCAAAACTAGAGGAGCTATAAGGTCACAAAGTTGTACTAGTGATTACACACAAATTTTACCGTCTCTAATTCTGTCTAGTTTGCAGTGTGCAAAGAAATCGTTTTTAACAATCAGTGTTTGGATTTTTTTTATTAACACTTATTTACAGATTAAATACAAAAAATTCTAAATTTTGAAACCCCTATTTTATCAAAATCCAAGAATGGCTTCAAAAGTAAACACTTTAAGTGAAAAGATCTAAAACTATTGAAAAAAAAACTTTCTTAAAATTTTTACTGTGATAACCAGAAAACAATGAAATAGGAAGGCGACATTATATCAATACTTAAGTGCATTTGAGGTTGTTACAAAGCAAATAGTTTTACTACAACTTATTAAATTACTAATTAAGTGAAATAAAATAAAATAATACAATAAAATACAAAAAATTCTAAACTGTTTTATCAAAATCTAAGAATGTCTTTAAAAGTAAACGATTTAAGTAAAAAAGTCTAAAATTATTAAAATATAATCTTTCTAATAATTTCTTACTCCTTATCTTTGAACGTTGAAAAAATAATCTTTTCACACATATAAAATATCTAAAAAGATTTCCATATACTGAATTAATATAAAATATATATTTTTTTCTTAAAAAGAGGAAAATTTATAGAATGACAGTATTTCTGTCAAAAGATGCAACAAGTTTTTGTATACTCATGATTATCTCATTTCCATAAAACAAACTCTTTCTTTTTCGAAATAAAAAAGAATATATTTTAGTTTAGCGTAAAAGAAATATTCTGTTGAGTGAGATTCACATCTGCAGGATGATGTTATGTGTTATTTCTGTTATTTAGCTGACTTTTATGTCAACAACTATGTATACTGAATTGAAATATTCTGGTCATTATTTACAAACAATGAGATTACTTCTACGTCCAGGTTGTATATTTACTATTTCTAAACTATTGTATTTTTCAGTGTACAAACAGCAGAAGAATAATAAAAGATATATATAGATATATAACTATAACGAGATATTGATAGATACGTTGAACATTGTTAACGAATTTGAAAAAGCAGCCTACGTTATGTCTTCCATCAACAATCAATAAATACTGAGAGTACACAGTAGAGAACTATATGCAGTATCATTGTGCAAGCTTCATTTTTTTCATAGCCTCCATTATTCATCGTGGTATAAACAAATACAGCCAATTTCTCTCTGTAGAAAAAACTCAATGGGAGCGGTCATGGGTTCTAGCCTAGACTCTACGCAGTCTAGAATAAGAAATGAAATTTTTTTTCTCAAATTTAAGCTTTGCTCAATCACTAAATTCATACTTTTTTCGTTCACATTCTTATCCCCTTTTTAAAACTTTTAATTAGTTCAACCGCTGAGATAATGCAGTTTTTTTGCTTTAAACCGCTGGGTTTTAGATTTTTCAATTACTTTTTGCTTTCATTCAATTGAAAAAAGTTTTTCTTAAAATACTGCAGCTGGGTTTAAGATTTGAAATAATTTGTTTTTATTTCAAACACTGGAATTCAGTTTTTTTTAGCAACTTTTTTTCTTTTAACCGTTGGTTTTAAGATTTTCAGCAACATTTTACCTTTTAACCGCTGGGTTTCAGATTTTTCAATTACTTTTTGCTTTCATTCCAAGGAACAAAGTTTTTCTAAAATTACTGCCTGGTTTAAGATTTGAAATAATTTGTTTTTATTTCAACCACTGGATTTCAGCTTTTTCAGCAACTTTTTTGCGTTCAACTATTGGTTTTAAGATTTTCAGCAACATTTCAGCTTTCAACCGCTGGTTTAAAGTTTTTTCAGCATCTTTTTTTTCAAACGCTTGGTTTCAGATTTTTCAATTACTTTTTCTTTTCAATAAATGGAAAAAAGTTCTTAAAACACTGCTGGGCTTAAGATTTGCAATAATTTAGTTGCTTTCAACCACTGGTTTAAAGTTTTTTTCAGCAACTTTTTTTTCCAACTGCTGGGTATAAGATTTTTCAGCAACTTTTTGCTTTCAACCACTGGTTTCATGTTTTCAGCAATTTTTTTTTCAACTGCATGCTGGGTTTAAGACGTTCAGCAATCTTTAGCTTTCAACCTCTGGTTTTAAGTTGTTTCAGCAACTTTTTTTCTTTCAACTGCTGGGTTTAAGATATTAACAAATTTTGCTTTCAATCAATGCCAAAAGTTTTTTTTTAAATACTGCTGGGTTTAAGATTTGAAATTATTTTATTTCTTCCAACTGCTGGGGTTAAAAGAAAAAAACGGTATTGAAAAAACTTAAACCCAGTGGTTGAAAGCAACTAAATTATTTCAAATCTTACACCTAGTAATTGAAAGAAAAAATATTGCTGATAAAATTTAAACCAGAGGTTGAAAGCTAAAAAGTTGCTCAAAAATCTTAAACCCAGCGTTTGAAAGAAAAAAGTAGCTCAAAAACTTCAACACAGCGGTTGAAAGTAAAAAAGTAGCTGAATAAACTAAAAACCAACGGTTGAAAGCTAAAAAGTTGCTGAAAATCTTAAACCCAGCAGTATTCTCAGAAAAACGTTTTCCATTGATTTAAAGCAAAAATTTGTTGAACATTTTAAACCTGCAGTGGTAACTACTGGGTCGTCGAACTATAAAAAAAGTTTTAAAAAGCAATACAATACATCTAAAACTTTAATTTACTAAAGACAATTAAAGATTTGTGGTTAATACTCTTTAGTACATTTCAACCATTGATTTACTCAAGATAGTTAAAGATTTGTGGAAATATTAGTTTTTATCCATCTAAATCTTTAACTAACTAAATGTTTTAAAAGATTTGTAGTTAATGGCTATATTAGTTTTGGTAAATATACTAAATCTTTAATTAAAGATTTGTAGTTAATGGCTATCTGGGTTGTGGAAACTGTCTCATTTCTTCTAATTGAGCTTTCCGTTTTCTTCTAAAAAAAAATTATTTTAATAAAATATTGCAAAAGTTTAGAAAACAAGAGTAATGTTATTTTGTCAAATATGCTTGATTGGGAGTTTGATTATATTCCTTTTATATGTATTTAATAGTGAATTCCCTAATGTTTGATGGGATGTTTGACAATAATAAACGTATTTACATAATCTCTTCATAACCTTTATAAACCTTTTTTACAATAAAACTAAAGGTTTGGGTGAAATAAGAAAAAATTACCTGATATAAAATATGATAACAGTTGCAATCAACAAACTTATAACTAAAATTCAAAACACTCTTTAGATGAAAAAGTCAAACCCGTTTATATTTTAAACTCAGACTATTTAATCTATAACAGACATATAGTTTGCAATATCAGAGGTCATACAACATCAAGTTGAAAAGATGTTGGGATTAGAAAATCAGATTTTATAGCAGAAACTCAATTTCTTTAAATGATTCAACTTCTTGAATGGTTTAAGAATCTTTGCAATAGTTTAGTAAAATCAGGAATACACGAAATATCCATAATTTTCTCTTTGGAAACTGATATTTGCAATTTTGGGTTATAAATAAACGATTTTTAAGCTAAGAAAAATGATATCTTAGGTGTACCGTTGTGAATACAACAACTTTAAAGTATAACTAAAATGTAAAAGAAAAACCATTTTGAAGACGAGACGACAGCTCCTTAAACTAAAAAAGAGAACAGTCCCTTTAGATTAATAAAGACGACAGTTCCTTTAAAATAATGAAGATGACAGTCCCTTTAAACTGATGAAGAGGACAGTCCCTTTAAACTAATGAAGAGAACAGTCCCTTTAAACAAATAAAGACGACAGTTTCTTTAAACTAATGAAGACGACAGTCCCTTGAAACTAATGAAGATGACAGTCCCTTGAAACTAATGAAGTCGACAGTCCCTTTAAACTAATGAAGATGACAGTCCCTTTAAACTAATGAAGACGACAGTCAATTTAAAATAATGAAGACGACAGTCCCTTGAAACTAATGAAGACGACAGTCCCCTTTAAACTAATGAAGACGACAGTACCTTAAATTTAATTAAAATGAATTTTGAATTCCTAAGAAAACGATGATTACCACCAGTACAGTCCAGCTCACAGACTGAAGAGACTGAAAATAAAATTTTTAGATCAAAAAAAAAGAGATGCCACAAAATTAAAAAAGTAAAAATATTCTTAATTGTGATGGAATTATATTTATTTTTAAATTTGATGTTCCATTAAATTAAATTAAATTAATTAAATTAACTTAGATTAAATTAAAGAATATTTGTTAAACATTTAGATTCTGAACCTTGCGGACATTATTTGGCCACCAACTCTGAAAAGCTGAGCTGCCGGGAAGGGATATCAAGGTAATCAACAAAGGAAAGGATTTGGGAATGGTATTTACAGAAACATCTAGTAGAAATAAGATATTTAGTCAACAGCTTCTGCTTTATGCAATGTCCCGTATTATTTCTTTTAAGATTTAGTTTAACCTGTAAATATTTCTCCTGATCCCCAGCAGAACAGGATCCCTCCAAACCTCCAATATTCTTGGAGCTTATCCCTAGGAATGAGGTACAGCAGGATCCCTTCCACTCCAACCAACCTGGCTCCAGGCTCCCTAATCTCCAGTTCATTCGCTCCCAGAATACTCCCGAATCAGATAGATCCAACCAAACCAAACCGGATTCTATAATAATATCTTTATTATTAATATTGTTATTATCATTATCATTGTTATTACGTTATTATTATTATAATTTTTATTGTTATTATCACTTTTACATCTTTATTAAAACTATTATTGTGATCATATCATCACTTTTATTAGGATTATTAGAATTATAATTATTATCATTATCATTAGCATTGTTAATATTATGATAATTTATTTATTTTTATCATTATTATTATTATTGTTTTCATTTTTCATTATTATTGCTATTCTCAGTTTAATTCTTATTAGCATTCTTATTATAATTATATTATCATAATCATTGTTTAATATCATTATAAATAGAAATAAATGAAAAAGTTCTAGCGGTTCTTTTCATTGTTCATCATTATAAGCTAAGTATCTTTTTATTTCCTTTCATCATTTCCAATATAAAGACTTTTACAGTTTTTTCTTTTCAGTAACTTTCTAACTATTTTCCACATTAGTCTTGTTGTTTTATGATTTTTTATTTATTATATTACTTATATGTTAATAGTATGTATTAGTATAGTATATATAAATTTGTTTACTGTGACCAAAGATATCAAACTAAACAAAGTTTCAGAACGATTGGTAAAATTGTTGTGATAAATCAGAACTTAAAAAATTTGCATAATGTTATAAAATGAATCTTTTATAAAATCGAATTTTACCGTGAGATAAAAATCTCATATTCTTAAAGCAAAAACCAGAATGTTTCAAAACGTATCTAGAACATCCTCCATCAGTATAAGGTTTCAGTTGCTTTAACGAGTTTTTTTGTTCACCTGCATCTTGCAGAATAAGTCTGACTTCCCAGATTCTATCCTGAAATAAAGAAAAATATTACAGTAAGTCAATTTTGCCAAATTTAATTTTATAAATTTTTTATAAATTTATAAAATTTATAAAAAAGCAAGTAAATAAAGAATTGTCCCATATATCTCCTTCCTCAAACATGGGCAGCTGTAGTACATCTGGTCCCAGTTTGTAAGTAAGTAAGTGATGTTTATTGCACAATAACATGTTAACATATTAAGGTGGCAGGAGATATACAATTCGCAGGATTGCGGTTTACAACGTAGTTCTCATAATACAGTCTTTAAAACAAATTATACATTAACAAGAAAATAATCCATTGGTAATTAATATATTTTTCATAAAATGAATGGAATGTACAAGGTGGCGAACTGATGTGCTGGATGGCTGGAAAAGAGTCTCGATTATTGTACTGTACCTAGCTCTATGGAAAGGACTAGCTCCGATGCAACAAGGTTGACGCGGTCAGACTTTCTTCATATAGGTTGAATTTACTTTCACTAAAGGGGCAAGGGGCATGAAAAAAGATGCTTTATGATTGAATTGTTAAAATATTGTTTTCAAAGCGTAAGTGTTAAAACAGTTATAATGTTATCTATAAAAACGATTTAACATTTTTCCATTTCTTTACAATATTCTTCAAATATGAAAAAGATTTTCTTTGACATCTTTCATTCCGTTCAATTTTACAGATGACTGAATCCGAGTATCATAATATACAGAGGCAGTTCCTTCCATAAACTGCATTGGTCGACAACTTGACGTCTCCTCGGTCGTCAAGTGTATACAGTGAAATGATCTATCAGATAAGATTTAGCATTAGACATCTAGCGGCCAACATATCGTCCCCCAAAGTACGTGAACTACACGACCACTATCTCTATAGAGAGCACGGACTCAGTCATCGTCGTTTATATCAATAAACGAAAACAACTTCCAGTTTCAATTTATCGATTTTTACAAAGCTTTTTAACAGTATGATGGATACATGCATATTCATGGAAACAAAAGAAAGATTAACAGCTTCTGTTGGTTCACTTGTAAAATTGTAATTAAAAAAAAAAAAATATAGAAATCAAACTTCAAAAAGTCGTCTTCATTGTATTTATATCACAGCCCATTGTAGCCCATTTGAGTTTTATCCGGTTTTTTAGCTCTCCTTTGTTTGTGAATTTCAAGTATTTTAGTTTTAGTTTTAGAAAATATGTTTAATATTATAAAAGATATAGGTAAAATAGATCGTACTTTAAGTTTTCATTTGAGTAAATATTCACGTATTCTCTGTTGAAAGGGTGACATGTTCATTTAACAACAGCGTTTTTTAAACCCTTAATCTTAGTAAAAATGTTAAAGGGTTTATCATCAGTAGATGAAGGGTCCCTTTAAATCACGTGGACTGGATAGGCCCTATAAAAATTAAACATTTTTTTCTGTTTTTCCAACCTGGCATCTGGTTGGTTCAGGTTTACATACAGAGGCCCAGTTATCTTTCTCAACTCTGCAAGTTGGAGGACTAAGGTCAGATAATTCTGGACTCTGGGAACTGACTAGTAGGTCAACCTGAACAAAATTGACTAAAATCTGATTGAAAAAGAATTTTCACTTATTTAGAAATAAAAATAATATTCTAAAAGAAACTTCATTTTTCTGTTAAAATTTAGAAAACTTAGAAACAAATTTAATGATTATGCAAGACGTAGTTGAACCACATAACGCGGGGCGCCGGTTCAACCAGTTATCTTGAGAGCCGGGTAAAGCTGAAGAGAAGTGGGTCAATAAACCCTATTTAGCCTGACGTCTGGTTTACTGCCTGGCTGCCTGGGGGGGGGTCTAATTGACCTACTCCTCTATTTTCTATTGTAGATTTGTATTGTGATACAAATCTATAAAATTTGATACATTTTTGGAAAGCCAATGGTACTTCAATAATCTGCCAAAAAATGGCAAAGTTGAACAAATCCAAATTTTATTGCGAAATATAGTTATTAAGCAAAAAATGTGGAAAAAAATGCTCAACATACAACAAAATATACATTTTTGAAAAGCCCTTGAACCAGGAAATTAAAATGAGCATAAACATTTGCAAAATTTGTCAAACCTTAATGTGTATTGAGGTTTTAAAACCTAATTGAAAACTTAAGTGTAAAACCTAAATGTGTATTCAAGAAAAACTGAAAATGTGCAACTTCCCTTTAAAGGCGTCTGTGCAAAAATCTGTGCAAAATTTATTTGCAAAAGTTGTGCAATCTTCTTGTTTCTGTCATAGGCTTTCCAAAAACAAAATAAAAAAGGAAATTTGATTTAATAATTTCATTATTCGGAGTTCGGAATCAATAAATAGGAAGAAATTTGTCCGAACAGTTTAACTATTTCTCTGATTCCGCTAAGATCAAATTGAACCCTGCAGCCTACAGATGATTTACTTTTCTTGGTGGACAAGAGAAAAAGTAAAACCTGTCGTAGCTAATTAAACTACATCTCACTGAAATCTGGCAACTCTGAAAGTTTTTATTCATCAAACTTTCAACTATGCGCTTGTTTCTAGCTTATGTTTAAAAGGAGTAATTAACAAAAAATGCTCGATTTTTGCGTGTTTACATCTTGGTTTGCAGTAATCTTTCTTTTTTATAAGTTTCTATCTCCTCTTTACCTCTAGCTCTATAATCCTGGATGGGGGATCAAAGGATGGACGAGAGGGAAACTCAGGGCCAGGATTCAATTGTTTCTCTATTGGAGGGAAGGAGGGAAATGGCAGGGAAGGAATAGAAGGAGTAGGAGGGGGGGAAAGGGGATTTAGGAGCTGAATCCCTTGGACTGCTGGAGGTGAAGGAACTGCAGATATAGATAGTGTGTGTCTGTAACAACAGATTCACAGATAAGAAAATGTGTTTTTTTAAATATTTTTATAAGTGTAGTTTTTTTGAAAATTTAATGTAAAACAGTACATATTTATCAATTTAATTTAAACTTACTGTTAACATACAATAAACTTTATAAAAATAAAAAAAATAAAAATTTGTAATTTTTCTGTTTAATCGTTGCCTGTATCCCTCTCTTGCATTTACAGGAACAGAAATCTAAAACAAAAACAATTTTCAAAAAATCTGCCCCAAATCAAAAAAAAAACATTTTCAAATTCCACTAACACATTTGCCCCAAATTTAAAAAAATGCCCCCAATTAAATAAAAATGCCCCAATTTTTTTTAAATTATCATTTAAAAAAAAATTTGCTCCCATTTAAAAAATTTGCCCTCATTTCTTTCAAATTTTTCAATCCCAAATGGGATTGAAAAAGGAATTTGATGGACCCCTGGTAAAACCCTGTACGACGTCTACACTGTACAGTGTACAGTGTTAACATCAACATTTAATATCTGATCAGCGCAGAGCCCAAAACTTAAATTCAGGGTATTCTAATGAAACCCAGTATTGGAAACCTGTTTTTCACAATTTTTCAATATATTTTTCAGAAATATTTTTCATTTCTTGATGTAAATCTTCACTAATGTAATAACCCCAAAAAGGAAACTCTTATTAAAGGAGTTGAGTTTTTGCCACAAATTCTGATTTTCTAATCTCCATATCTTTGTAACCCAATGTCGTAGACCTTGGATATTTCAAATTGTGAATTCTTCTAGATCAAATAATCTAAGTTTGAAAAATCAAAGGTTTGCAACATCAGGTTGTAAAGCTATTGGGATAAAAAAAATATATAATTTGTGGGAAAAACTCAATTCCTTTAATGTACTTGGAACTCATGTACTTGGGTATCGAGATAAATGGTGATTAATTTAATTTTTTTTCTCAATATACCGCATGATAAATGTACCCTGAAGGATAACTGAAGTGAAGAGATTAAGCATTAATTCTCAAATTGAAAGTTCACTTAGGATATCGTGAATAAGCGATCGGAACTAAAAGTATCCAATTTCCCTGCTGAGGACAAAAATCAAGAAATTAGACCTTCTGGAAAAATCATATTGATAAAAAAATATTTACCATTAAAAAGTCTGCATTCACAGATTTGATTGTAAAATCTGTTCCAATCTGTTTATTCAGCATCAACTGTACATCCCACTTAGGAACTTCAGTCACAAATGGTATTGTCATTTTAATGGTAGATATCTAAACATATATAAACATTTTAATGTAGGATATCTAAACATATATAAACATTTTAATGTAGGATATCTAAACATGTATAAACATTTTAATGTAGGATATCTAAACATATATAAACATTTTAATGTAGGATATCTAAACATGTATAAACATTTTAATGTAGGATATCTAAACATATATAAACATTTTAATGTAGGATATCTAAACATGTATAAACATTTTAATGTAGGATATCTAAACATATATAAACATTTTAATGTAGGATATCTAAACATGTATAAACATTTTAATGTAGGATATCTAAACATATATAAACATTTTAATGTAGGATATCTAAACATGTATAAACATTTTAATGTAGGATATCTAAACATATATAAACATTTTAATGTAGGATATCTAAACATGTATAAACATTTTAATGTAGGATATCTAAACATATANTTTGTTTGAATTCTTTTGTTATAATAGAATTTACATTTTAAATCAGAAACAGTTTTAAAAATCCTCTACTTATGACCTACACTGAACTCCTCTACCCCTGAATTCCACTGACCTCCTCTACACTTTAAAACTTTAAAACCGCTGACTTTCACTGAGCGCTTTTTATTGCGACCTCCACAAACCTCCACGATCCCTGATCTCCACTGATGTCTTTTACCCCTGACCTCTACTGTTCTTCTCTACCTCTGACCTCCACTTGCTCCTGTAAGCAGAGTTGTGTATGTATACTAACCTATTAGTTGCTACACAAACAGTTTCTAGATCTATAGTAGCAGGTATACTACTGGTGTATAGTACTAACCTATTAGTTGCTGCACAAACAGTTTCTAGATCTATAGTAGCAGGTATACTACTGGTGTATAGTACTAACCTATTAGTTGCTACACAAACAGTTTCTAGATCTATAGTAGCAGGTATACTACTGGTGTATAGTACTAACATGTTAGTTGCTACACAAACAGTTTCTAGATCTATATTAGCAGGTACACTACTGGTGTATAGTACTAACCTATAAGTTGCTACATAAACAGTTTCTAGATCTATATTAGCAGGTACACTACTGGTGTATAGTACTAACCTATAAGTTGCTACATAAACAGTTTCTAGATCTATATTAGCAGGTACAGTTCGACCAGCTGGACAGCTGTACAGTACACTTCCATCTATAGGTATTCCTCCAGATGTCTAGAAATATTGGAAGGATGGTAGGATGTGTCAATGGAAACTCTGAAGTTTCAGATCGATTTTTAGGCAGCTAACAACAACAAGCTTTTGAGGCAGACAATTTGTTACATTTCACAAACTTTGTTAAACCCCTTGAAACCAAAAGACCCTATATTAAAGATGGTCATAACCATAAACAAAAGAACCCTTTAAACCCATGCAATTGAAAAAAAATAAGTTTCAGACAGAAACACAAAAATATCTCATTCATATTGGAAGGATGGAAGGATGTGTCAATGGAAACTCTGGTTCATATGAAGTTCCTATCAGACTTTTGGGCAACAATTTCTACAATAAACATACATCCTTTTGCAGGTCAAACGACAGGACACAAAATGAATCATCCCATAGGCGTACTGAGGGGGGAGCCAATTTATGACCAATTTATACCCAATTTATGCCCAATGTTTACCCAATTTATGCCCAATTTATGCCAAATTTATTCCCAATTTTTGTCCAATTTATGCCCAATGTATGCCCAATTTATACCCAATTTATGCCCAATGTTTACCCAATTTATGCCAAATTTATGACCAATTTATACCCAATTTATACCCAATTTATGCCAAATGTTTACCCAATTTATGCCCAATTTATACCCAATTTCTGTCTATTTTTTGCCCAATGTATGCCCAATTTATACCCAATTTACGCCCAATGTTTACCCAATTTATGCCCAATTTATACCCAATTTTTGTCCAATTTATGCCCAATGTATGCCTGCCCAATGTATGCCCAATTTATACCCAATTTATGCCAAATGTTTACCCAATTTATACCCAATGTATGGCCAATTTATGCCCAATTTATGCCCAATGTTTACCCAATTTATTCCCAATGTTTACCCGATTTATACCCAATTTATTTCCAATTTATGCCCAATTTATGCCTAATTTAAAAGCTTTGTCTATATTCAAGTTTGAGTTAGATATGCTTCTGTTTTTTATTTTCATTCGTGGTTTCTATGCAAAAATTCCTTGTATACATTTCTTGCTGATTAGAAACAATGGAGAAATTTTCAAAAATAAACACACTTTTCTAGTTATGTCTACATTTTTAAGATTTCAAAGGTTTCATATTTGCGGTATATTGTAGTCTTTGCATGGAGGGTCACCTAAAATAATGCTGACAGTTTTTTTAACATGTTAATTATTTGTTTGTGTATGATGAACCTGTTTATACTGAGGCCTAAGTCCAGATGAGTCAGTAGGATAACCTGGAGGCAAAGGAGGGGCTACAAAACATTGACAATCTAAAAATAAAATAAAAAAAGATAAAACATAAGAAATTTTTTCTAGTTTTTGACAGCATTGATTTCGGTTATAATTTATTTGAAATGTTCACTACAGTTATTTACACAGGGAGAAAGAAATAGAAGAGAGATAAAACTGATGCGGTTCGCCCTACCATATGATTATGCATGCTTTGCAGACGGGTACTCCATTTGTATAAGAAATATTCAGAATAGGTTATTGTATACGCCTACACCATTAGATTGCAAAGATAAACAAATTAAAAACTTTGTGACAAAAAATCAATTTATTTCCATACAAAAAAACAGTTTTACCCCCCCCCCAAAAAAAAAAAAATTGTTTCATCATTTCAAATTTCTGATTATTTTCAAATCAAAAAAGATAATTGATTTTTCAAAAGTATTGATAATTAATGCAAATATCAGAATATTTTAAACATTGACATTTTAAAGTTGGAATTGGAACAAAAAAATATTTCAAATAAACATTTTAATTAGCTATAATGATCTAAACTTACTTTTATTAATATTTCTCTTAAAAACTGCTGCAACGTAGAAAAAAAAATAATTGTAAAAAGTTGTAAAAACTTTCCCTGATCAATCCCAACTTTTCCCTTGTTCTTTAAACATAAACAAACCCCATGTCTCCCTAAAGGAACTGTCGTTGTTATTAGGGTTGTTAATCGTTTTAGAAAACGATCCAAAAAACGATCGTTTTTAGTTTCGTTTTTTTCTAGTAGTAGTAGTAGTAGTAGTAGAAGTAGTAGTAGTAGTAGTAGTAGTAGAAGTAGTAGTAGTAGTAATAGTAGTAGTAGTAGAAGTACTGGTAGTAGTAGTAGTAGTAGTAGTAGTAGTAATACAAGTAGAAGTAGTAGTAGTAGTAGTAGTAGTAGTAGTAGTAGTAGTAGTAGTAGTAGTTTTAGTAGTAGTAGTAGTAGTAGTAGTAATAGTAGTAGTAGTAGTAGTAGTAGTAGTTGTAGTAGTAGTAGTAGTAGTAGTAGTTTTAGTAGTAGTTTTGCGAATTTAAGAAAAAATGAAGGATCGAATCGAACAAAACATATTTCAAGTTAGAAAATACGACATCCATCACATTATGAATTTTATTAGGTTAAAAGGTAGGCATTTTTTTAATGGAGTTTCACTAGAAATTATTGGAACAGTCCATTTAATTGTGCAGGGGGCCAGGAGGTGGGGGGGGGAGGAAGGGAATATATATTTATTGTGTTTCTTTTCTCAAAATTCTGTTGTTTACCTATTTTATATGGAAGCACGAAAAGAATGATAATGTAAAACACATTACTGTTTTTATAGACCCGCGTCATACCATTCCACCTGAAAAATAAGGATAAAATATTTTTGATTAAACTTGGCAAAGCTCCAGTAAAAAAGATCATTTTAAAGTTTTAATGTGAAATATTTCCTGCAGGCTAAATACTATTCCTTTATCTATTTATCAAAGTTTAGCCTTTTAAACATTTTTTTGATAAAACTTAAACATTATTATGATTAAACTTAAACATGATTAAACTTAAACATTTAAGCATTTTTCTTGTTTAATTTGTTATAAATTATTAATAGTAAAAATTGAATTTTTTTACAGAACATTCGCTATTTGCATAAAAGATATTTTAGGTGTAATATTCCCAAAGAATTCAATAATTTCCAAATCTCAAATTTTCAATTTTTATTTTGGCAACACAACATTTAATGGAATGTTAAAATACACTAAATTTTATTTTAGAAATGATTAATTGTCGGAATTCTTTCTTAATGTTAACTTTCTGACTTTCTGTTAACTTTTTAAACCAAAATAAATCAATGTTAAATGATAGATATTTTTCTTTCTTAAAAACATACTTTTCTAGGGCATTACTGCTCAACAGCCTAAAGGGGGCCAGCGTTGTTTTTCAATGGTCTAACAGTTAGGACTGGGCACATTCCAACTTTTTCTCGCCGTTTTGTTAACGCTTAGTTTCAACCGTTAAAAGAAAAATTAGGTAGCCTTAAGTTTTAAAGGTAATTGTACATGATATTTGTTTTGTTAACTGTATTTTCCTTTTTATAAAGTTAGTTAGCGATCTCAACTTTATTAATGGCGTTAATGAAAGATATTTTGTCATTAGTGGTTTTTTAGCAAATATTGGCAATAGCAATTCAGGAGTTGTGCAAAATTCAAGGTTTGTCAAATCGTTAACGGCTAATCCGTTTCAATAACAATTTACAAATTTCGAAAATCTCTGTTTAGCTAACTTAACTTTGCCCAGCCCTAATTACAGTTCCTAGCTTATATGGTCCGGTCGACGATTTTAACCTATGACTTTAAATTATCCATGATGATGTTTACAAACTTCTTATTTCCTAAAAATCGAAAAATTGCAGACAATTAATTTTTTGAGAATGACTTGCGGATTTCTTCTTTGCACAGATTGAAAAGAAAATGGTTGATTTATATTTCATTCCCAACAGCATGACACCATTTAGAAAATTGTTCAGGTTTCAGGTGTCGTTGTGAATGTTTATTGACATTTTTTGATAAAATTAAACAATCCAATTAACCTCGTGAAAGCCACTTAACACTTGTCTGAAACTTAAATTTTATATTCTCTGTATCTATAGTAATCTGATGGTATACAGCTTTTACAATTTTATCCCGCAGCATTCATAGTTTAACATATTAAATGTCTATAATTTTAGGAAACAAATTTAATAAATTTGAACTGCTTAATGCCGATTCAAATTTGAATCACCGCTTTAAACCCTCCATAAGTATTTCCCTTTGAATTAGTGGTTCAAATTGACAGTAGGTTATAAGCGACGTTGCTAAAATTAATTTATTTCGGTCGCAAAGGTCGCAAAGATATATGCAAGTGTTCTGTTTCTTTATTATGAAGATCACTGGTATACTAAAACTCACATAATATATAAATAGAAAGGACTTACTCTGACATTTACACAGTTTGGAATTTTTAACTATTTGTCTGAGCCTTCACAATACAGAACAGTAGATTATCGATTTTAAATAGTTTTTGATTTTAGAAATAATGCAATTTTATCTTTAAAAGTTGGTCGCATATTTGGATAGTTCTGTGAGGATAATCCTTTTTTTTCTTGAAAAAAAATTGACGTTTAGGGCGCTTTGCAAGGCCCCTTTTCAACTAACAATTTCAGCTTTTAACTGTTGCTCATTAAGAATGGCAATTTAAAATCGTTTTCAAATTGTCGCAGATTTTTAACTTTTAATGGCGCATTTTCAAAAAATTGTGAAATAGACAAGAATTTTATAAATGTCTATTTGCGTTGTAACAACAACAAATACACTTAAAGGGACAGTAAAGGAAAAATGAAAGGGGTTATAGGCTGAAAGCTTATCAATTTAGCTCTTGATCGCGACCCCTGAAAGTTATATCTGATGTTCCTATCTCGAGAAACTGATTTACAACTGTGTCAAATTTATTTGAAAATTAATATATATACAATTTTGTATAAAAGTAGTGGGTTTAAATAGATCAAATTCAGCAAATAAGCAACCAATCTGAAAACGATAATATCCCCGAGAAAGCTAATTATTACTTAGGTTTACTCCAATTCTAATTTTATATTTGTTATTTCTATTTTTAATAGATTTAATTCATTATATTATTTACACGTCCGAATTGCTTGACCAGAAAATCCACCAATGACAGTGCAGTAAAGTGGTCACGTGATACAGGCAGAGACACGTGATCAGTATACTGCTCTGCCATTGGTGATAGTTCTGGTCACATGATTTAAGTTTAAGATTTTCTAAATTTTACATATATGAACTTTCGTATAATTTTAACACAGTTTTATATAAATTTCTCGAGACAGGAGCATCAGATAAAACTTTCTTAGGTCGCGATCAAGAGCTAAAGTGATTAGCTTTCAGCCTATATCCCCTTTCATTTTTCCTTTACTGTCCCTTTAAGTATTGCTAAAATGTCGTCTTTCTATTCTATTGTTTTCTAGTTATCACTGTAAGTTTTGACGGTTACCCTTTTGTATCCGGCATTGTTTTTTTTTAAATAGGGACCCACTTAAAATTACGCTTACAGTCCTTTTAAGGAATCCAAAACTCTTTCCGATAAACCTTCTCGTAGATATTTCCGGTCTAATTGTTGATAATATCCGGTTCATAACTGTTCCGAGCAAAGTTAGAAATGAAACTGTAGTTACTCTGTAGCTTTCTAAACAATGGTGGAAGTATTGGGAAAACTACCTTTTGTTGTTCTTATACATTTGTTGTTTAAGGGACTGCAAGCGTAATTTAAGGTGACCCTCCGTGCAAAGACGGCAATGTCTGATTTACAACGGTAGCCTTAATAGCTTTATTTGATCAAGTATGAATTATATATCAAGGTTTTTGTTTATTTAAACTGTTTTTTTGTTTCTTTTCTTGCCTATGAGAATTTAATGGAGAAGTTTTAAGAATTATCCACTTATCGAAACAGAAAAAAAAACACATGGAGGGTCACTTGAAATTACGCTTACAGTCCCTTAAGTTATTAATATTAAATGGAAACATACATTTTTTTATAGATTAGAATAGTTACAAATATTAATAGTTACAAATATATATCTAAGATCCACTACATTGGGTTGCAAAGACATAGGGATAAAAAAATTAGAGTTTGTGTCTAAGACTCAATTCCTTTGAAGGGTTAAGACCATAGTTAGCAGATAAGGATTATTGATAAAGGATCAACATCGTTTGAATAAGCTTCTCAAATTAAATAGTTTAAAAAGCACAAATTCAACTTTTATGTTAAAATGTTCTCGTAGATTTTTTTCAGCAAAAAGGCAAATTAAATACATCTTTTTTTATAATGAAATAAAACTGAAACAATTCGAAAGCTCGGATTTTCTTATTCCTATGTCTTTGCAACCCAATGTTTTAGATGTTGGATATATATTTGTAATTGTTAATGCAGTTAGATCAAATAGATAATCCAAGTTCGAAATATGAAAGGTTTATACCATCAGGGTGCAGAGATATAGGGATTAGAAAATTAGAGTTTGTTGCAAATAGTCAATTTTTTTTAAAGATAAAATTCTAATTTTGGAACCAAAACTACGAACACTATTAACATTCCCGGTATTAAACATACAATTATAAATTTAATTAAAATTAATTAAAGTTTTGATAATTTATGGATTTTATTTTTGACAGTTATCGTAATGGCAAAGGATATAATTAAAAGGACATTTATTTTATTTGTGCATTTACATTAATAAAATTTCTTGTACTTTGGGAATGAGGGAGGGATTTTTTTTTTTGATTACACGTTAAAACTGATTTAATGTTTTAAGAAGCCAAAATAAATCTATTGTGGCCGCCGGAGAAGGATTCCACATCATGCTACGCGGCAAGGCCTATATAGTTATCTTGTGTGATTTATAAACAATCTGATTGAGTTTCCCATAGCGTAAATGTATATTCCGAAATAAGTTATGTCTGAGTATTATTAGAGTCTGTCCTCACAACCTCTACACTTTCAACGTAAAATAATTGTTTTTATTAAGCTTGTTTAAACCAACAGGAGTTACGAGGTTACAAAGTTAATTCAGTAATTTCACGTTAATATATAAATTGAAAACTGTGTAATAAAAAGACGACATTAAAATATAATATATCGTGGTAGGCGATTATATCAATATAATGAAGACAACTTTCGCTTTCAATTTTGATTTATATCAAGCTTTTAAACATCATGGCACAAAAACATGCATTCCTGACATTTTTTGATTTTTTGAGTGCTGACTATGTATTTACTTGAAAATCCACAATGAATGTTGAGATTTCAATATGAATAGGTGAATAGGATGTTTCAACAAATACCGATCAGAACTAAATTATTAAGCATCATATTTTTAATTGGCTCCTAATAAATTTTCTTTTGTGTTTTATTTTAAGTTGAGCCATCATACATTATTATTTTGTATTTTGTGTTTTAAATAATAAAATACTATAACTACTAAAGAGAAACTGCCAATCATAAAAGCTTTTTTTGTAAACTTGTAATTCAAAAAAGCTGTTCAATAATAAGAGTTATGATTAAAAACAGATAAGATGTCAATTTTACGTAAAATTTAGTTTAGTTTGACGTGCAGTCCCTAATATCTTGATTGGAGTGATGGCATATTAATGTAGATTTGAATTTCTTTAAAGGGTTATGATAATAAAATCTGATTTAGCTCAAACTCCTTTTTTAATCATCTTAATTTTGACAAAAAAGTTCTGATCCTTTATAAAAAATACAAAATTTTTTTTTTAATAAAAAAGTTTTTATTTATCTATTTTATTGAATAAAACATAATGAATGAAAAACTGCCGATTAAATGAAAAACTGTCTTATGACTGAAAAAAATAATATTATTTATTTAGATTAAAATATTGGTTGGTGAGTGGTTGAGCTGACACTGAAAGACATAGTTGTTTTGTTTCCATAGTACTACTTTCTATAAACATTTATCTATACATATACAACAAAACAGCTGAATATATATATACATGGTTATACACAAAGGATAAGACCTAATTAGCGACCCCGAAACTCTTAAAATATACTCATTTTAACTGCTTAATCTTTTAAAGTTTGACAAAAAAAACAGAATGTGGAACTAGAATTAATTATGTACAGTCGTCTCATCTTTTGGGGTTACCCCTGTACACTGCATATATGCAGATACAGTGAGAACCAGAAAACTGTGGAATATTAAGTCAGCATGAAAATAATGAATAAGTAAGTGTGTAGGATGTTTTACTAGTAACTTATTAAACAAATTTATAATGTAAAGTTGGTCAATTTACACTGCACGATTGCTGTGTCTAATGTTCATTGGAATATTTAAAACCATATCTTGAGTTTAAAAGTCGTCTTCCTGCTCCAGAGATTTCTGGTTTTCACTATATATATATATATATATATATACACGATGCCTAAGGCTAATTAGGCATGAATAAAGTTATAACATATATCAAACTATGCTAATTAATGGTTCAAAGCATGCAACCACGTAGCTTTAGCTTTCTAATAAGTCAGGTTCAGTTTTTTAGAAATTATGAAGTGTGATGAAGGAGCATGTCTTGGATTAGAACCAGAAAACTCTGGAATAAGTTATGGCTTTTAATAGTCAAATGAACATGAGACTTATCAATTATGCAGTGTAACTGTAGATATACCCATTTCACTTAATAGATAATTCAAAAAGCAAAACTATTTCCTTTGCAACAATATGCAAAAATCAAAAACCAACCTATACAGATCTGAAAAATTATATTTCAAAGGAAATATAAGGAAATCAAAATCTTGCATGTAAACGTATATTGCAACTTATTAATTATCATTTAAACCGCACAACATTCATCAAAAATGTGTACACCATTCATCAAAAATATGTACACCATTCATCCAAAATGTGTACACCATTCATCAAAAATATGTACACAATTCATCAAAAATGTGAAGAAAGAATATAATTATGCTATAATTCATTTATAATTGATAAATTCATTATAAGAAAGATTTTACATATCACCTATTCATCATTGCGAACATTCCATCTGAAGTATTTGTTAAACCTAGGAAGACAACGTTTTACACTAAAAAAGAGTTGTAAAGCATTGATTTTTAGCTCAAACCTAACCTATTCCTGCACCTTTTCATTTTTTGAATTTTCTTCTTTTTAAGGTCAATTATAGATAAAAGTTTTTTTGTTTTGAGCAGTCTTTGGCTGGACTTGAAAAGTATTCCGCGGGGTTCGGGCAGGGTTCTGCTATCTACCTGGGTTCGAACAGGATATTGATGGGCTCATGGCCGCATGCCCCCCCCCCCTACCTCCCTTGTCCAACGAAACATGACAATTGGTGTTTTCGATGTCTTCTTCCATAATTTTTTAAGTTGTTTCATACCAAAGAGACAAGGGATGTAATCCGTCGTCTTTGCAATAAGGACAGAGATCAGGGACCAAAGGGAGTCGGTGTTATAGATCATGTAGTGACATACAGTACATTGGATAAATGAGAGTTTCGGCATCTGTGTATATTCAGTGTACACAGATCTGGGGTATGTAAACAGTAGACAGTTTTCTATACCATCACATAAAAGATTTGTTGTATAAAACTGCAAATTAAGAAGTTATACGATTATCAGTAAACTTGAAAAATTATCCGATGGGTATAATAATACTTATCCAAAACATAAGAGCTTATACCAAGGTAAAATATAAATATTTTTTTTAATAATTTACAATTTTAAATTTTTGAAAAATCAACATTTCTGCGACAGAGCTATTTGTGGAAATATTTTTTGAAAGAAGGATGGAAAGCTAGACCAATCAACGCATATTTTGTTTTATAAAATGTAACAGATTTTCAAAATTGGATTCGTCTTAAAGGAACATTTCGTATTGTTTTCATAGCAAGGGCGTATAGATAGGGTGTTGGGGGGGG